GGTAGAAAAGAGGAATGGAGAGTGTAGTTGGGGACTTGAATGTGGGTGGTGTCTGACGAGAGAGACTTGTCTTTCAGTCGAAAAAGGACGAGCGGAGAAGAACAATGGAGAAAATGGTGTACAGAATCAATACTCCGGTTCTTTTTGCGAATGTTGGTGAGGGTGGTGAGTGCATGATTCCTGTGTGAGTGCGTGGAGCGAGCGAGAGAGGGTGAGCGCATGTAATACTCTACTGTCATGTTTATATTGTGAGGAAACCGGCGACCATGATCCTAAAGCTTGGAGTGGCGGACCACATAAGGCTTCAGTAGATCAGATGTGGTAGTGAGCCGGGTGACGGCAGATCCGCCTACTACCTTATGTTTGTATGAAAAGACAGCAAAGTTTGGTCTGCTAAACGTTTGGCGTTGCTCGAGAATCTGATGTAGAGTGAAATAGTCGACGCCGTCTCATCCGGAGCGGAATTCTGCCTGTTCTTCATAGATGTGGCTTTCTGTTATGTTATGTTAAGGAAACTTATCTTCATGAAGCCAACTTCTCTTCAAGGAAACGGCCGTAATTATGTATCAGAGAGGTGGTGCACTTTAGTCGCCCTTCAAAACTGGCTGTCACTCAAGTTTTTCTATTTTAAACCAGTGGGTGATGAACAGCATTCAGGGAGGACCCCATAGTCACGAACACCTGCCGTTCAGTGATGGTAACCCGTAAACTGATCTCCATGCCCCGCTAGGTCAAGGGTGGTTTAGAACCGGGCGACTGCAAAGCAGTCTACGATCAAAGTTGGGTGGCGGTAGCGGGGATCAAACCTCGGACCACACGGTCCAAAGAACATCGGTGACAGTGACTAAACCATGACACCATTAAAGTAATCATTGTTATGGACTTTGATGAGCAGTAAATCGTTGCGTCCTGTCTTCGTATGATTGTCTACCACAGTTGTACAGTTTTGTGGTCTACTCTAGTTCAAGATCCATCCTCGGGTGAAATTTAATTCCAAAAGAACCTTTCATATTTCACAATATATTTCACACCCGTGTCTTCTCATCCCATAATTTCAGCATTACCGCAACATCCTGGATGACCAGTTGGACTTTCATTCCTATTGCCTTCGCAAAGGGACCTTACGTGCTTACGTAGAAACGTTGCGTTTGGAAGACCGACTTCGAAACCATGCATCTTATTTTGATATTGCTCATCTCGCCATTGAAGTATGTTACTTATTGCTTTCACTCACCAATTTGAATGCTATATGTTGTGTATCATCTTAGGAGTCTAATGGAAATTGCGTGGCTAGGTTAAATTTATGGCCGTGTCAAGGCATCTAGGCTAATGAGTTGATTTTAATTTCATTAAATTTTCCCTTCATCTAAATTTCAGGAGAATGAAAGGTGTAAGATATTCTGTCCCTTACTTGACTGAACGATACTTTTTTATTATACACTTTTAGTGTGATGAACAGCAGACGGGCTAAACCCCATAGTCACGAGAACCTGCTGTTAACTGATGGAAACCGGTAACCTAACCTAAGGGACTTGGAGTGGTGAACTACATAAGGCTTCGATAGGCGTGGTATTGAACCGGACGACAGCAAAGCTTCCTACCACCAAAGTTAAGTGGCGGTGGAGGGTCTCGAACCTCGGACCATAGGGTCCAAAGCATACTGGTGACGGATTTTAATGATTGGCAAACGTGGAAAGCTAATGATCTTTACAACAGCACTCGACACTTTAGTGACTTGAAGGCCTACCACAAACGTTACTTTTTCAAACATTCAGTCCGTCAATTTAACTAAGGTATTTGTTTGGAACTTTTCTGGACTCGTGCGTGAGCCTTCCGGGAACAATCCATATCTGTTGCACACGCATTTTCATTCATGGAACTTATTTAAAATAAAGATTCTGGTATATATAGCTTCTCGCAACCAATTTATCTAATGGAGTATGGAGATACAATACGTCAACCTGGACAAGTGTCAGTTGTAAAACTATTTAACTCTCTGAAATTACTTCTCTATAATTGGTGTATGAGGATCTACCAGCTTAAATTTTAGGTCAGAATGTATTTTGCCGAGTTCAATGAGAGGTGTTTACTAATTGGCGAACGGTAAAATGAAATATCCTCACTCCAAATGTAGATTTACACATCTTCAGTTGAACCTCTAAAACCTATTGCAGTGAGGTAATGCGTGGCAAGTATTTTTGAACTAGTCATTTGAGCGGCTAAAGGTAATCCCTTGAACCAGGAAGCAAGACGTCTGTGCCGGCAACACTCGTGATCGATTCGTCGGGGATAGAAACCGGAAGTCACCTCACTCAAGCCTCAGACCGTCTTCGGCGTAAGTGCTCTGGTCTACTCAAGAGATGACTTTCTCCATCGTATTGTGTTGCAGCCCTTTGGTTGTCCGATTCTCTCTTCTCCTAATATAATTGTATATAATGGTATAATTGTATGTTCAACAATAGGAAGTAAAAATAAAAATAAAAGGGGCCTGGGGGCGCTGCGTTCAAAAGAAATAGAATCAGCGATTGAGCGTGGGAACACTCGTCCGTACTACTGGTCCCAAAATACTGCGTTAGTGAACCAATTTACGAAGGCAATATACAGCAGTCACCGATGCTTGAAATACTGGATAGAGTACATCACAGTTCAGCCAGCCTCCCACGCGGGCTACCCCAGGTAATTTTCTTGACTGTGCGCCTCGCTCACATCCTAGAAACGCGGAGGTTTGTTGGTAGTTCCCAGCCCTGAAACATCATAGGGCGTCTGGATTAAACAACCTACCGCAGAAAATCTTGAAGGATCGTAGAGAAGTTATCTTGGAAGAGCTTTCCAAGCGATTTTAGGATCTGGGCGGAAGAAGCTGTACCCCATGCACGAGGATAGTGGACTTTTACAAGTATTTTCGAGAAGGATGGTCACAATGTTTCAGTCACAGGCGCATAGATCTGAGTCCAATAGCTCCGAGAATGTTGACGTTCGTTTTGTTATGCAGTTTGAGTCCAGTTTCTGAGAGACGAGTTTATGAAGAGCAAGTCTGGTTTCGTGGTTGCCGTAGTTGTATAAATCAACAATCCACCCTGCATCAACCACTGGAATACCATTATACCAGCGGCAAACTGTCATCTTGTTTTTTGACATCCGAGCGGCTTTCGACTCCGTCGATCGCCCTTCGCTGTTGATTTGTTGTTTGAGATACGTCGTACCTGCGGAGCATGTTCTGTTTCGAAATGCACTTTACGGACAAACTTTGAAGGAGTTTAGGGCCTAGCAGAGCATATCTAACGACTGTCAGTTTTCGAAAACAGCTATCTGCGTAGCATCACACGCGTGTGGTGGTAGCACCTCGTGAGTACGGGTAGGGCCAGATGACGTGCATGAGAGTCAGATAATCTTCCGTTGAGCAAACCCATTTCACTGTATCGTCTAAGGTGGCTGGGGCAAACGCTTGGTCAACGTCTACCCCACCTTGTACCATTGGGGGACATGAGACGTTGGAACAAAGCGAGATGGGCATCATTGTACAACGTAATACAGTGAAGTAAACTACACTGATCGCTGCCAAACTCATANTGCATACAAGGTAAGTGAGAATGTGTAAGGAGGATAAGGTTGGACTTACTTTTAGGGACGGGTAAAGAAAGCGAACCTCGGTGGTCAACACAGCGTACACAGTGCAACCGTGTATACATACTATTGCAAGCATTCTGGTCTGATAAGAAGTGACGGCAAGATCGCCATTGCTGTCGGTTTGCAGCTATGACCGGTGTCTTTAACCGTGCGGTTACGTAGTCTTTTGGACCACAACCCGGAAGACGCACCTACTCTACCTAGTCGCTCTGTGCATTTCTTCATGCCTCGTCTCCACTTGATCTGCTGGCCTCCACATGGCTTCCTCCAGCTTACAACAGCCACTGCAACCGTCGGACATACGCAAAACGTGTCCTAACCAACGAAGCCTATTGAGCTGGATTCAATAGGATATCGAATTTTTGTTCGAAGCATTCCCACAAACTCCACGACTTCTAGGTTACTAATCCGCTCACTCCATCCCACTCGGGTCAGCATCGATTGTCGAAAATTCCTAGGCGACGGATGTCTTCTACTCCCGCAAATTCAAGGTCTCACAACCGTAAAGATCGACAAGCCGTGATGTAGCGTTGAGGGTTAAACATTGTGGTTGTATATGGTTTCCGTCGGATTTCAGACTGGAGCCCAAAGATGGCGATTGTTATTGGCTGGAGACTTCGGGATATGGTATGGAATGGAACTCTGTGGTATCAGTGCATTTTCAAGTCTGCAATACCCCACAAAGACTAAAACGTTTTGTTACACTCGCGAAACTGGTTGTTTTGTTATGTACATACGATATTCTTTCAACCAATGATTACTTTGGCAACACATCTGTCTGGACCAATCATACCAAGTTCACATTAAGGCAATGGCGATCATCTGGAACGTAAGTGGATGGTGTAAATCATTCCGTTGCGAAAGGCACTGGCTTCATCATGTAATTTTTGAAGCAATTAGAATGAATGAATGAAGTGAACTTGGGATCATGACCATGTATTTTGTTGGAGCCAGTTACTTCGCGGTTCCAAATAACCATTTTCTCTCTCAGATGTTCAACATGAAAAGATGGATCCTGCAGAACGGTGGCAGGCCATTACTCCCAACTTGCACAGAAGTATTCCTAACCCCGACGAATCCGCTCTCCTGGGACAACTTATTTGCCGTACCCTGATTCTATCTCAGGCATTTGGGATGTTCTAAGAGAAGGAACCAGTCTCATAGGGCTGCATCCACAGTTCATCACCATCAATACTCTGAGTGTTAAGGGTGTTATTCAACACATAATAATACAAGACTCACTAATACGAGACGTTTTTTAATCCACAGACCAACAACAATATCGTGGTTCGAGAATCCCAGAGGTTTTTCTTGCTGCTCTAGTTGAGTTAGCGGCCCGCAGCTCATCTACCTGACTATAGGACGGTTGTGAACTTTTCTCTGTCATTTTAGCGAATGATCATCGCCACGAAAAGACAGCTAGGCAGAGACATTTCTTGGGGCGAGAGCGAGGCCTTGCTCAGACGAACCGGGTTAAAGTGACTTCTTCACTACTGTCCAGCTTTTACATATTTTTTTGCCTTTGGTAATGATAGCCCCCTACCTTTTCATTTCAGATTTATCTGCATCTTCATGCTCAACCGTTGGACGCAACTGGAACTAATGCGGACGGAGATCAGAGTGGGTTTTGTGCCTTATGCTTAAACATCCGTCCTGTTGACCTTGGGACTTAATACACTTATAAATTCATACTATGCTTTTATGTGTAAAACTATTTTGATCCAAACTGTGAGTGACAATCGTTCTACGCGTTATCATTAACTCTTTCCTGTAACAAACCAAAATTTAGAGTTGTTGCTCATCTCACAACGATAACTTCGACTGTCCTGACGAATTTTTGCAATGAAATGCTGCCTGTTGAGCGACCGCCTTAGAGCAAGCAGTTCAAAGCTGCTTGTCCTCACAATTAAGCTAAGCTTTTTACGTGTAAAACTGGTTTATCTGCTAGGGATTTTTCCTTGGCGATGTGATTGCGGTAATTTTTCTCAGAGTACTTTTGTCCTCTCTGTTCTTCGTTTCCACTTGGTCCGTACAATTAAATTCCTACTTGGGTACCGGGTTATTGTTGGAAAAACGAATGCACTGGTGCTAGAAAGCGACCCATTAAGGTTCTTATTTAGCAAAACACTGAATGTTTTCATGTTTTTGCGTCTTTTCAGTTCATTCACAACTTTTTCAATGTGATTTCAGGCACAGATGCTTAACCCGGTCAGACGGTCGTTTGAAAACATGAAAAAAAATCAGATTGGCTTTCTTTTTACTATATTCTGTATCCCAATCCACCCATCCCGTTATTGTCATTATTGTTGTGGCGTTGGTACCATACTTGTCGGCAGGTTGGTGG